GACCAGCTCCGAGAGGCAACAGTATTTTCAAAGATTGACTTGAGGTCAGGGTATCACCAACTGAAGATCAAAGAAAGCGACATACCGAAGAGTGCTTTCCGCACAAGGTATGGTCACTTTGAGTTCTTGGTGATGTCATTTGGGTTAACTAATGCCCCAGCGGCATTCATGGACTTGATGAACCGAGGTTTTCATAAATACTTGGATCAGTTTGTAATCGTGTTCATAGATGACATCCTAATTTACTCAAGAAATGAAGAGGAGCATGAGAAACACTTGGTTCTGGTTCTTGAAACACTACGAGAAAAGCAACTCTATGCCAAATTCTCTAAGTGTGAGTTTTGGCTTAAGGAGATCAGCTTTCTCGGTCACGTGGTTTCTGAATCAAGCATTTCTGTGGACAACAAGAAGATTGAGGCCATCACAGAATGGGAAAGACCTAAGAACGTGAAGGAGATTTTTAGTTTCCTTGGACTAGCGGGATACTATAGAAAATTCGTGGAGAAGTTCTCAGTTTTGGCATCACTGTTGACGAAGCTCACTCGAAAGGGAGCTAAGTTCGTATGGAATGACCGATGTGAGGAGGGATTCTTAGAACTGAAGAAAAGGTTAACGGAGGCACCGATACTCGTCTTACCAAAACAAGGTATGGAGTACGATGTCTATAGCGATGCGGGCATCCATGGGCTTGTATGTGTATTGATGCAGAATGGGAGGGTGATTGCCTACGCTTCACGACAGTTGAAGAGACACGAGGTAAATTATCCTACTCACGACTTAGAATTGGGAGCAGTGGTCTTTGCACTAAAGATATGTAGGCATCATCTCTACGGAGAGACATGTCACATATACACTGACCACAAGAGTTTGAAGTATGTGTTTACTCAGAAAGAGTTAAACATGAGACAACGACAGTGGATGGAATTGATAAAGGACTTCCACCTTGTGATTGATTATCATCCGGGTAAAGCAAATGTTGTGGCCGATGCCCTTAGCCGGAAGAGTTCATCGGGGGCATTGATAACCAACTTGAGGGCATTGAAAGCGCAATTGGAAGTATCTACTAATGGCGCCTTGGTGGCGAGATTTGAGGTGAGACCTACCTTACTTGATGAGATCAAGAAGGGGCAGGAACTTGACGATGAGCTCAAGAAGGTCCGAGAACGCATGCTAGCGGGGCCAGTAGAGGGTTTTTGTGAAAGATACGATGGTCTCTTTTTATTCCGCGATTGAGTGTGCGTACCATCGAATGATGAGCTCCGAAAGTCCATTCTAGAGGAGGCTCATTCATCGGCGTATGCTATGCACCAGGGATTTGAAAGAATGCTACTGGTGGTCTGGTATGAAGAGGGAAATAGCAAAATACATCAGTCGGTGCCTTACTTGTCAGCAAGTTAAGGCAGAACATCAGCATCCAGCGGGCTTATTGCAACCACTTTCCATCCCTGAATGGAAGTGGGAACATGTGACCTTGGATTTCGTGGTAGTCTTACCACGGAAGATCAGGAACTATGATGCAGTTTGGGTTGTTGTTGATAGGCTCACGAAGAGTGCACACTTTTTACCTATTGATAAGCACAATAATTACTTATGTTTTACATAAGTGATTATAATTATCTGTACAAAAATATGAAGCAAAAACAGGTAAATATTCCCGAGTGAGCGGAAACATGAAATACGGTTTGGAACAACAAAAATAGGGTCAAAAGTCAAAAGGGGTCGAAAACCGGCACTTCTGGATCAATTTTGGGCATCAAAAGAGAAAAAAAAGCTAAGTACAAGATTGGGCGCAGGAACCGGCGCCGGTCATCACACATCCGGCGCCGGTCGTTGGGATTTTTTCCCCAAATCGGCCTGTTTCCAACCGGCGCAGAGCGACCGGTGCATTTTTTCACAAGACCGGTTGTAGGGTGTCCGGCGCCGGTTGTTCCGATTTCTGCTACAAACACAGCTACGTGCAAGAGATTTCTTGATGGGAAAACTTCATCTTCCTCATATTTGATCAAATATCTCCTCCATACCTGCTTGTTGGGCTTGAATAGACTAAAAGATGACATTCTTTAGCCTATATAAAGCCTTCAATTCATCAAACAAAAACATTCCATTCCATAGATTAATTCTTAGCTTTTATATTTTTTCTTGGTATTTTCTTCAAGTTCTTTAGGAGGGAAGTTCATCCTCCGAAATCATTGGTGTTTAGGTATTATTTCCTTTGTAATTTCATGTTCCATTACATTTATTATTGTATTGTGATTAATATGAGCATTAGAGACTAATTTCTTAGCTAAGGTTAGGGATGAACTTCTATGCCCATTAAGTGTTTGATAAAAGTTCTAAACCAATAAATTGTGATTTATCCTTTATATATTGATTGTTTATGACTATAGTGTACAACATAGAAGTATGTTAAATTTAGTTTATACTTGCAATTAACGTTGAAGTCTAAACTTTGAACATTAAAGGATAAGCATATATAGTATCGAGAATAGAAATATATCCAATCTTATATGATACGGGTGTGATGTCTTGATATTCAACGGGGTTTTCGGTAGATGATTGTAAGCCGTAACGGGACTTACACGTAACGAAAACCACGCTCTCGCTGCCTTAACCGGATTTGAGAATATATTAGCGACATCATATTCATAATTATTGGCAAAGAACTAATATTCAACCCTATTAAAGCATTTAAGTGATTCCCGAAGCCTTAGTTGTTGTTATTATTCATCTTAAACTCAGAATTAGTTAACGATTATCTTCTTGAGCAAAAAGTGAAAAAACCAAAAATATAACACACAATTCAAAATCCCTGCACTTTACTCATTTCTTCATTTAAATTTATCTACTCACAGACTAAATTAAACAACGTTTCCTTGTGGATTCGACCCGGTATTTTACCGGAATTTATTACTATATCGGCACTTGTACACTTGCAAGTTTATCCCGGTCACCTATCAACACCACTTACCCACTCGAGAGGTTAGCCAAATTATATACGGACGAGATCGTGAGGTTACATGGTGTTCTGGTGACCATCATATCCGATAGAGACCCACGATTCACGTCACGTTTTTGGCCAAATTTTCAAGAGTCTATGGGAACGAGGTTGAAGTTCAGTACTGCGTTCCATCCACTGACGGATGGGCAGTCTGAAAGAGTTATTCAGATCTTAGAAGATATGTTGAGGGCTTGTGCATTGGAGTTCCAAGGGAGTTGGGACAATCACTTAGCACTTGTGGAGTTTGCCTATAACAACAGTTATCAGGCAAGTATCGGCATGCCTCCATACGAAGCATTGTATGGGAGGAGGTGTCGTACACCGTTATGCTGGGACGAGGTTGGCATGGCCAAACTCGAGAGTACTGAGTTGGTTGAGATCACCAAGTCAAAGGTGAAGTTGATTCGAGAGAGACTCAAAGCAGCTCAGGATAGACAAAAGAGTTATGCAGATAAGTGACGGAGAACCTTAGAGTTTAAGGTTAATGACGAGGTATTCCTGAAAGTTTCTCCTTGGAGAGGAATCATTCGATTCCAAAGCCGAGGGAAGCTTAATCCACGCTACATAGGGCCATTCAGAATTCTGGAGAGAATTGGGGCCGTAACATATCGTCTACAGTTGACTCCAGAGTTAGAGAAGATACACAATGTGTTCCACGTATCTATGCTTAAGAAGTATGTACATGATCCTTCTCATGTATTGGAAAAGTCGCCGGTGGAAATACGTGAGGATTTGAACTACGCTGTACAACCGGTCAAGATCACCGATAGAAGGGTAAATAAATTGAGGAGTAAAGAAGTTCCAGTGGTTAAAGTCCTTTGGAAAAGTGACCGTGTTGATGAAGAGACTTAGGGAAACGGAAGCTTTGATGAGGGAGAAGTACGCTTTCCTATTTGAGTAGCATTGTGAATTTCGGGGACGAAGTTCCTGATAAGGGGGGTGAACTTGTGACACCGCACCCGAACGTCTTTGAAATTCAAATTTAATTTCAAAGGTATGTATTGAATTTCCCTATTATCGAACAATTGTAAAACGATTAAAGTTTTACGTAACGTATGATCAATCATATTTCTGTTTGGGCTCGTATGATAGTAACAGACTTCCAAATAATTAATTGGGCCATCTTATTGATATTGGGGCCCAACATTCTTAAATAAAAATGTATAACCCCTCGGTACAAAGTAAGAGCGGTCGGGCAACCCAAATGTTATTTTGGGCCTAACCTGTTAAAAATAGCAAGTATTCAAGAATGGCGCCCAAGACCCACTGGAGGGTGACCCACACGGTTAGTAGCCCATGTTATGTGAATATTAATGTCATAAATAAGTGATAGAATGATTGGAGAAGAATACAAATGCCTATGGTCCCATATTTGGCATTATTAGGCTAAATAATGGGAATAAGGTTTTCTTTTATAATTGTACATCATATAAATTATTGGGACCATTCTACACATATTAGAGATCAATAATATGATGTAGAAAGTTGACTTGATCTAAATAAATGAGGATAAGTACAAAAAGTACATCTTATGACAAAAGACAAAAACAATAGGACTCATCTTTCCACTTTTGGAAGTATTGGTAGATATTTTGCTTCCAAATTAATTAGGTGACATAAGATGCGCCCCACACCTTCCTAGCACCTGAAAAACAGGTAGAATAAGTTAGAACACATAAATGGGGCGGACCTATTGAGTTGAGAGCTCATACAATACAAAAAGTAATAAAAGAGGAGGACCATCTCATGTTTGATTGCAATCAAACACCCAACCCTTTTTTTATGAACCACACGATTATCTATCTTCATTTTTGGGCTCCTTAAAACTTAACACAACCCCAATTTCGACTTGGAAGGATAAGGAAAAGGTGAGAGCTGACAAACCAAAGAAAAGGGAGAGGAAGAAGAGTTGCCCGCAGGGGTATTTTCCAATTCATGGAGTTCACTGTTGGAGCCATATCTCGAGCTATACTCATCCAATTAAGACGTGTGAGGTGCCCAATGAAAGCTATCGAGAAGAGGAATCCATAGACGTGCGTATTGAAGAAAACGGATCAGTTTAAGGCCTCCAAATCGTCCGAACAAAACGCAACCTCGCAGCATACGTTTTTGTATTCAAAGTAAGTTTGAATCCAAAATCTTTCTCTCAATTGTCTAAATCATATAAATGTTTGAAGAACTATTGTACACTGGTTGAGGTGTATAAAATGTTATTATAAAATGACTTTATTTGTTGAATTGTAAAGGTTAGATAGTAACCTAGACAAAACCTTGAAAGGTTAGGGAACGAATTCGCCGGAAAACACCCGTTCTAGGGACTGTTTTCGTGTCTTCGGTTAGGAGTTGAGCTAGCACCTTGAGGAGGCTGTTTAACACCCATTTATAAGCAAGGAATCAATTCTCAAACCCCCTTTGCCGAAGCTTGAGCATTGGGTTGAGAAAGATCAATTTAAAGCTCATTTGAGGTGAGGATCGACATCTAGTTGCTTACAACTTGTAGATTAAGCATGAGATTACCTAAATGGATAAATCGTGTTTTTCATGGGTTATGATGATAAATTATTGATGAAATATTTATATAGTTTCCAAAGAATGAAATGGGGAATGATTTGGAAATGTATTGATAAAAATGGAGTTAAATGAACTATTATGTGAAACGTGCATTTTTACTCATATGTGAATTGTTGGAAAAATGTGTTAAAAATTGCATTAAATGGTCATTTTGGGGCAATTATTTGAGTGGGTTCCACTTCCGATTTGGGTCGGTTCAAAGTGGTTTCAGATTGTCCTTGTTAAGGGCTATAATTCGATATATGGTACGCTCAAAACGGATAACGGGTGAATGAGAAATTGATTCTCGAAGTTCACTCGTTGAAATGGAAAAACTGGGAAAATGATGAGTTTCTAGTGTGTTTTATACCACACCGGAAAACACAAAAGATTTTCACCCCCTTATAAAGGGGAGCCTCTTTTAAGGAGTTAAGATTCCTAAAGGTAAAAGCTCTCTCTTACGCGCAGGGGGGGTTGTCGATCAAATCCCGAAACGGAGAAGAAAAACCGCGACTTGTGTGCGCGGGCGACCTACGGATCAATTCCCGAATGTCTTCCTGTAACGTTTTATTTTTCCTAGGACCAGAGGTGCTCGGATAGAACTGCTCGAACTCTGGTGGCTTCGTACCAGAGATGCTCCAACTCTGGTGGGGGTGCTCTGCTGGCTTCGCATCAGAGTTGCTCCAACTCTGGTGGAGGTATTCTGGTAGCATCAGAGTTGCTCCAACTCTGATGGGGGTATTCTGGTCGCGCACCCGAAGTGATTCAAGTCGTTACAGCCATTAAATGCCCAACGTTCTTATCTTTTAATGCAGCGTTAAATGGACAGTTTACGGACGATTCAATGCCCAACGGACCGGTCATTGATGTCCAACGTTCAGGTCCATTAACACCTCATTTAACAGACAACAAATTCTCATATAAATAGCTGGCAGGTGCTTTGCAATAAGACACAACTCACAATACATTCCTCACGTATTTTTGAGCTCTAAAACACTTCCAGCTACTCAGAAAATTCCTAAGTGTTCATATTGTGTTCCAGTTCGCCGGAACTCTCGTTCGTGTGCTCAAACGTTAGTTCGTTAGCCACCGTATCCTGGGAAACAGTCGTTGCAACGCTCCTAGCACTGTGAGAGGCGACGAATACGTTTTAAGGACATCTGCTCCATCTTATTTCCGTTTTTCTTTAGCTATTTTATTAATTAATTAATTATTTTTATTAATATTTCTTCGTTTTTTCCAAAACACACCCAACAATCTTAAAACGTATTCCGTGATTATGTTACTGTGGTAAACAATCTTAAAACGTATTCCGTGATTATGTTACTGTGGTAAACAATCTTAAAACGTATTTTTCAAGCTTGTATCACACGGATACAATCTTAAATCGTAGTTTGTCACTTTGGTGAACAAACTTAGTTTTTGTGTTTTCGGAAAACGTAAGAAAACGTTAAAATGGCTTCACAAGAAATTGGAAATGTTGGTGGGCAGAACGTGCCAAACGATAATTAATCTGAAAGTGGAGCACCGGTGAACAATGGTTCACAACGCGGTGCATCTACTTTGGGAAACCAAGGGGCAATCCCTATGGTTACCGTGCCGAGCAACTCTGTGGAGAAACCCGAAAAATTTAACGGGTTAAACTTCAAGAGGTGACAGCAAAAGATGCAATTTTACCTCACTACTCTTGGTCTTGCTAGGTTCTTGACCGAAGATGCGCCGGTAGCAACTGGGGGTGAGGTGGATGCGCAATCTTACAACGTGGTTGAAGCTTGGAAGTATTCCGACTTCCTTTGCCGAAACTACGTGTAGAACGGGCTGCATGATGCTTTGTACGACGTGTATAGCAAATTAGCTAAGGCTAAGGAGCTATGGAATGCTTTGGACCACAAATATAAAAGCGAGGATGCCGGTGCAAAGAAATTTGTTGTCAGCTGATTCCTTGATTTTAAAATGGTGGATTCGAAGACGGTCTTGAGTCAAGTTGAGGAAATGCAAATGATCTTCATCAAAATTCGAGATGAAGGAATGACAGTTAGTGAGTCTTTCCAAGTGGCGTCAATTATCCATTTATTGCCTCCGACTTGGAAGGATTTCAAGAACTACCTTAAGCATAAGCGAAAGGAAATGAACTTGGAGCAATTGATCCTCCGTCTGCGGATTGAAGAGGATAACCGGAAGAACGATGGGAAACTCCTAATCGTTAACGGCGCCAAGGCCAACGTAGTGGAGCATGCAAAAGGCTCCAAAAAAAAGAACAACGGGAAGAGCAAGCTCGGTCCCAATGGAGGCGTTTCCAAAACGAAGTTTAATGGAAAATGCTTCAATTGCAACAAGAATGGACACAAGTCCTCGGATTGCAAGGCACCACGAAAGAAGAGAGACTCTCAAGTCAACTTGGTGCAAGGTGGGCAAAAGGATGACGACATAATCCTTACGGTCGTGGTAACCGAGGTCAACCTCGATAGATCCAATTCCAAGGAGTGGTTCGTGGACACCGGTGTAACCCGGCATATTTGCTCAAACCGGGAGTTATTCATTACTTTTGAGCTATCAAATGGTGAGAAGGTGTGGATGGGAAACTCAGCTCATTCCGCGGTTGAAGACGTGGGCAAGGTGGTCCTGAAGATGACTTCGGGCAAGGAGCTGACTCTCAACCAAGTGCTGTTTGTTTCGGAAATACGCAAAAACCTGATTTCCGGTTCGTTGTTGAACAAGCATGGCTTCCGCATGGTTTTTGAGTCAGACAAATTAGTTTTGTCTAAATCGGGAATGTATGTGGGCAAGGGGTATACATGTGATGGGCTGTTTAAGCTCAATGTAATGACTATTAATAATAATAATAATAAAATCCCTTCTGCTTACTTGCTTGAGTCTTCTAATGTGTGACATGGTAGACTAGGACATGTTAATTTTAATTCTATACGTAGATTAATTAACATGGAGCACATTCCTAAATTCACAATTGATGTGAAGCACAAATGTGAAGTTTGTGTAGAGGCAAAACTAACGAAAACGTCTTTCAAATCGGTTGAAAGAAAAACGGAACCACTTGAATTAATTTATAGTGACGTTTGTGATTTTAAATCAATACAAACACGTGGCAGTAATAAATATTTTATTACCTTTATCGGTGATAGCACTCGCTATAGCTACGTATATTTATTAAAAAATAAACACGAAGCAATCGATAAATTCATTCTTTATAAGAATGAAGTGGAAAACCAACTTAATCGACGGATTAAAACGGTTAGAAGTGATCGAGGTGGTGAGTATGAAGCACCAATAGGTGACTTTTGCGCGAGCGTGGGTATAGTACAGGAAAGTACCGCACCCTATTCACCTCAATCAAACGGTGTTGCCGAACGAAAGAATCACACATTGAAAGATATGATGAATGCGATGCTAGTAAGTTCGGACCTGCCACAAAATATGTGGGGCGAAGCAGTCTTGTCAAGCAATTACCTTTTAAATAAGATTCCCCGGAAAAAATATGATAAAACTCCCTACGAGTTGTGGAAAGGTAGACGGCCTTCCTATCAATATTTAAAAGTGTGGGGGTGTCTTGCAAAGGTGCTTGTACCAACACCTAAGAAAATAAAAATAGGTCCAAAAATGGTGGATTGTATTTTTATTGGGTATGCACAAAATAGTAGTGCTTATCGGTTTTTAGTGTACGATTCGAATAATCCGGATGTACATAAAAACACAATAATTGAATCAAGGAATGCTTCATTCTTTGAAGACGTATTTCCATGCAAGTCCAACGAAGGACCAAGCACGTCAAAACAAACATTTGACGTAGCTATGGAAAATACTAACGAGGGGTCCGGAGAAGAACCCGAACCCAGACGTAGTAAACGTGCTAGAGTTGAAAAATCCTTCGGATCGGATTTTCTCACATACTTGGTAGAATTTGACTCGAATATTCTAACACGTATGGTAGAAAATGAACTGGATTTCCTAACATGTTTGGTAGAAAATGAACCACGGACTTATACGGAAGCCATGACGTCTACCGAAGGTCCTATGTGGAAAGAAGCCATCAAAAGTGAGGTGAATTCTATCCTTAAAAATCACACATGGGAATTGGTTGATCTTCCTCCGGGAAATAAACCTTTGGGATCCAAGTGGATTTTTAAACGGAAAATGAAACCTGACGGTTCCATCGATAAGTACAAGGCCAGACTTGTAATCAAGAGATACAAGCAACGTGAGAGCCGTGATTACTTTGACACGTATTCTCCTGTGACGAGAATAAATTCTATTAGGATGATACTAGCAATTGCCGCTCTACGAAAATTGGAAGTTCATCAAATGGATGTAAAAACCGCATTTCTAAATGGCGATATAGACGAAGAAATCTATATGGAACAGCCCGAGGGCTTTCTTGTTCCTGGCCAAGAAAGGAAAGTGTGTAAATTAATTAAATCATTGTACAGATTGAAACAAGCCCCTAAACAGTGGCACGAAAAGTTCGACCATGCAATGTTAATTAATGGGTTTAAAATAAACGAAAGTGACAAATGCGTCTATGTGAAGAGCACAGTAGACGGCTATGTCATTTTAT